AAGAACTTCTTATAATTATGGATTCTTTTCAAGAATGGCGTCATTATCTAAAAGGCACTTCCAATCCAGTCACCATGTATACGGAACACAAGAACCTCAAATATTTTATGTCAGTACGCGTATTAAATCATCGCCAAGCTCGTTAGAGCATGTCTTTATCAAGATTCGAGTTCATCATCACTTATCGGCTAGAAAAATAACAAGGTTTGTCCGATGCCTTGTCTAGACATTCTTATCTTGCTCCAAAAGAAAGAGATGCAGCTTTTGAGCAACAAAGAATGGTTCTCTTGAAGCCACACCAATTTCATCTTCGAGCAATAAAATCAACATTGATTGTTGATTTAACTTTTCTTAAGCAAGTCCAGTTAAGTATGTCTTCAGACCCTCTTGTTCATGATATCAAGAATAATTCTTCTAAATCTCATGATACCTCTAAATTTGAATTCAAGAACAACGTACTCTATTTCGAAGGACGCCTATATGTTCCTGAAGGAGAAACACGTTTATGTGTTATTCAAGCTCGTCACGACTTCCCAACAGCAAGACAATTTGGATATAATAAGTCTTTGGAGTTGATATCTAGGGATTTTTGGTGGCCTCAAATGTGGAAGGCAGTTAAAGTTTTTGTACAATCATGTGATGTTTACTCAAGATCGAAAACTCCTCGTCATCGACCTTTTGGACTTCTTCAGCCATTACCCATTCCAGAACAACCATGGTCTTTTGTTTCTATGGACTTCATCACGGATCTTCCAATCTCAAATTCTTATGACTCTATATTTGTGATAGTAGATCATTTTATCAAGATGGCACATTTTGTACCATGTACAAAATCTATCACAGGTGAAGAAATAGCTAAGCTCTTTCTTAATAATATCTATTGCTATCATGGATTATCCAAGGATATTATATCAAATAGGGAAACTCAATTTGTATCAAGATTTTGGCGGACTCTTTTCAAGATTCTTAAAGTGGATATAAAATTATCTTCGGTATTCCATCCTCAAATTGATGGACAAACGGAGCGTGTTAATCAAGTTTTGGAGCAATATTTAAGATGTACCATTAATTACCGACAAGATGATTGGACAACTCTTTTGCCATTGAGAGAGTTTGATTACAATAACACGATACATTCTTCTACATAACAAACAACTTTCTTTGCTAATTATGGTTATCATCCACGACTTGATACTTTTGACTTTTCAAAAGTTGATAATCCTGCTGCGAAAGATTTAGCAATTCATTTATCAGAGCTACATGCAACGATGAAGGCGCAGTTAAAAGAGGCTCAAGAACAACAAAAGGTCAATGCAGATGTTTATCGAAAAGAACAACCATCATTCGTCTTGGATGATAAGGTATGGCTACTTCGTCACAATATCAAGACCACTCGTTCTTGTAACAAGTTGGACTATCGAAGGCTGGGATCATTTTCTATTTCTGCATAAATCAATCCAATTGCATATCGTTTACATCTATCGGAGTCAATGAAAATCCATCCAGTATTCCACGTGTCTCTTCTTGAACCATATAAGTTAGTGGACATACCAAGATGATGACAAGCTCTACCACCTTCTATAGAAGTGGACAATAATGAAGAGTTTGAAGTAGAAGAAGTCTTAGATTCACGGCGACGCCGAAATAAATTAGAATATCTTATCCATTAGCACGGATATGGTATTAGTGAATGCACATGGGAGCGAATAAAGAAACTTGCAAATGCAGCAAAGGTGGTGGAAGCTTTTCATCGATGACATCCATTAAAATCAAGATGAAAACCTTCTTTATAAAAGAAACAACATCTAGGCAAGATAACATTCTACTTTCAATTCTTGTTTGTAGCTTCTTTGTAGTAATGACGCTTAGGAGATGGAAAACCAACAACCAGTGGATTCGACTCAAGAGCCTTTATTTACTGACCTACCAGATGAGATATTACGATTGTCACAACCTTCAAGACAACGTAATCGAGATGAAGATCTTCAAGAACGACATGTTCTTCCTCGAATAGATGGTGAGATACAACGCGTTTGGTATCACGTTTTGGGAAGGGACTCCCGATGTTTGGTGATTCTGCTAGACATAGGAACAACTCCTGATGGTGTTCCAAATATTCTATTCAAAGGAAGTTATGAAGGCCTCAACAATGATCAAATAACTGGGTGGTCTTTCCGCCCTGGTATGGGACACTACCGATGGTTGAGAGGCTCTATCAATCATCTTCAAAGAGAACAAAGATCAAAATATGTGGCGAATACATTTCGTCGCATCATAGATTTCCTCAATATATGATGACCGCTCCTCGTGGAACTCGTCCCTAGAAAGGGGGGTAATGTCACAGACATAATCATATAAGCTAGTAATTATATATACAAATAGGTAGAAGTCAGTAAAAGTAGGTAAAAGTAAGTTAATTCTATAGTATTTAATATGGAAGCTTCTTAGAAGCTTCATAGACACTGCTTTGACTTCATAGGTATCTTTAATTGACTTTTTGGATTAGAAACGTGGTTAACAAGTTGGCCATGTGCCACACATGTTGTTAGCTTGAAGATCAAGCTAACTATGTGGCCCACACATAGAAAAACTTGCCTTGTAAGTAAAGGCATGTGTCCTATAAAGTCAACACATATTGGAGGTCCTATAGAACGTTGCCATGTAGCCCCTAGTTAGATAGTATATATAGAGACAAGAGTGAAGGCTTCTCCACTCTTGTCAAGTCCTTTCTTGCTTCTTGTCTTTTGGCAATAGCCATTCCAATTTCTCTTTCAATATATATCCTTGTTTATATATATTTTATTACCTCTTTTTGAGTGAAGGCTCACTTGTCTGAATTGTTTTTACATCGAGTTCTTGTCCTTGACAGATAATCAATTATTTGAAAGACATCAAAAATAAAGATTTGGCTAAAGAGAAATAAATCAAATAATGACAGTAGCTCCTAAGTTTCCAAAAACTTATTCATCAAGGCTAGAACTAATGTAAATTGATGCCATATATTTTAAACCTCTCTTAGAGTAAAAAAAGACTTGTCGACATGAAGCGGGCTTATGCTTATATTATGGAGAAGCTAAATATACTGCTCAATATTATCCAAAGAAATAACGCAATGACAAAATGAGAAGCATAGTTGCCAAAAAAGATAAGGTATTAGAAAATGAGTTTTTCTTGCTATAATAGGAATCATGTGACTAGAATCTTACATAACTCCTAGTAAAGGTTCTATTAACTCTTTAGATCCCTCACATTATTTTATAATAGAAGTTTATTTAGGACCAAAAAATCACAAAGTCTTAGCTTTATTAGATTCAGGAGCCTTAGCCTGTTTTATAGATAAAGAATTTATCAAAAAATAAGAGATATTGTTAGTCAAAAAAACTAAATGTATACATGTAGAAGTCATAGATGGTCGTTTGCTATCTTCTAGAGATATTACGTATGAGATTGATCCTTTAGATATAACAATTAAAGATTATAATAACATCGTAATATTTAATGTGATAAGATCTTTGTCTAATCTAATTATTTTAGAATTATCTTAGTTAAAAAAGTATAATCTTCAAATAGATTGGATTTTTTATAATTTTAATTTTTTTGGTAGTTTAATCCAAAATTCCATTAGTCAAATCAAAATACATAAGTCTAATACATCCAAATCCTTATTAATAGGTGCAAGAGCTTTTATGCATGCCACAAAAAAAAGTTTATTTTTTGCTTTATATGCCATACCTATTTCTAATGGTGAAAAGATGTCAAGTAGTATTCAAGAGGAAACTATGTTCTGAGGAGTGACTTCTGGAAAGCTTCAGGTATTGTGGTTGTCATCACAGCTCCAGTTTTCAATCTTTTCAGACTTGTGGACTAGTACCCCACCATGGGGAAGTTCTCGAAGCATATAGATGTGGCTATAGAGAGAATGAGTGGATCAAACGCCAAGAAGAAGGGAGAAAGTGTGACTCACTGACTGCTTCGTACTAATATTGAGCTGTCTTACACGGGCCAGCGCTCTGTGCAGGATTCGCTCTGGACCTGTTGTGGAGGAAAAAGGTCGAGAGACTAGGAATTTTCAGATAGATTTAGGGTTGTGAAGGACTCGTTTCATCCTAATTTTAATAGACCACGTACGGTTCGAAGGAGAGCTCGAAGCACACATGAGGAATACGGGTTTATTTCCTGATCAGTTGTCAAAATAATCGACTCAAATATAGTGCACCAGAAATATGGTGGTGATCTTATGATACAGTAACTCTCCTACAATATACTTCCATCAGGGTTAAAGACAGGTTACTGTAGCAATTTCATGTGCAAAAACATGATTATCCATTGAATTTAGAAGAGTTGAGACAGTTTGAGTTTGGAGCAAACTTCAGATTTAGTGATCATGTTTTGTTCCTCACGATTGAGATAAAAAGAAAACTTCTTCACGTAGGATTATTCTGGTGACCCGAAGAAACTTGTAATTTGAGATTGCGGATCAGTTGGGGAAGATTGCTGGGATGAGATTCGAGTTTATTCCGCTTTTGCAACCAATTTGTATGAATGAGAAGGGTACTACTTGACAACATCGATTAAGATGCGAACTTATTCTGAAGTAGATGGTTGTGACACGAATTCACATGAACTTGTGTATTTAAAATAATGCCGTCCACGGTAGTCGGTTCTCATGGTAACACTGCGCCAGAAACTCCCCCGTCTGCGGAGAAGCAATCTCACCAACCATTTTCAAACATCCTCTCTGAAATACAGACTTTCATACTTCGTCTTTCTTTCATACTTCAACTATTCTAAATACTCGTGGTTTTCAGAATCACTCACTCCCCAAGATGTACTGCACTGTTTCTATTAACAATCATCCATCATTCAGTTGAATCCCCCGTTTGACTTACAAAGTACACTTGGAAGTTGGCACTGCTGCACGATTGTAACAGAGTTGCTCATTGCTAATGTTACGACTCAGAAGTTGACGGCAGACAATACGTCCCTACACTTGCTCCACATTATTCTCATTCTTGATCATGATCTTATACTTAAAATTAGTTACAGTGCTTACTGATCCAAATATCTATTCAATCTCTTTACAAAACATGAGAAGGGCATGTTGAGAACGAAATCTAGAGAAGTCACGCGTAACAAATTTTACTCCCAACACGTCTCATCTATATTTTCGCACATGATCTCCTCGCTCAATCGATCACGGACGATGACCGTACTACAAACTGCAGCGTATACATTAATATACGGCACACGAGTATACAGGCTATTCTATCTATCTATATATCTCTGTCTTTCTGGAGGTCCGTACCTGCAGTGGAGGACGAGGAAAACGTTTCGAACATAGCCAACTACCGATGAGCATACGTAGTACAAGTTATAAATAAGTAGCCGACAATCACTGAAGACTGGAAGGGACTTTCCTTTCCAATAATCGTCTAAAAAGTTGTGAGCAGATGTTCCAGAGTTCGTCGACAGTACCGCATGCCATGCGTGCAATTCGACTTGAGAAATCTTCATGGTATTCAGACGCAACTACCCACCGTCGACTATGTGTCGGAGTTCACTACAAGGAAGCCAGAGCTCAACAGGGACGGTTACCTCAAGTCCACACTATGCCAGCAGTTCAAAAGAGCGAAAAAATGGGAGAGACTACAGCCAAAGAGCTCCGGCTTCCTTCAAGCGGGGGACAAGGTTCCCACTCACGTGGGCAGCCATGACAGCATCGACGCCCCCCACCAGTTTGCCGCCCACAAACACGGTAGGAAGCGCAACTTTGTTGTTGAGGCGCAGCAATGCCTTCTCCATGTCGCCACCTTCCTTCCGTTCATCGAGTTCGTGCACAGTTGGCCCCACTCCCAGACTGCAGAAGAGACGCTTTACCACATGACACATGCAGCACCCGCTCTGGCTGAACACAACCACAGCATTTTCCTGCACCAGCTTCTCTATCTCCTGCATTGCCCGCGCCATTCGCTGCTCCTCTCCCTGCGAGTCCACCATCCTAGCTGCCGTTGTCTATCGTGATGTAATTAATTCGCTTGCCGTACCCTTCTTCTCTATCAGCTTGTTCTGTGCATATAATTATGCCTGTTCGAGTTCCACTTCTGCCTCCTTTGCTCACTGGTTACTGGGTACTGTGATCTAGGTGGATTGCTGCCATTTTATAACCCAGTTGATTTGCACTAGCCATGAGACAAGGTTTAGTTCACACGACAACCTGGAAAGAACAAAACTACCGCGCCAATACGTGGAATTAGAGGCAATCGTCCTCCAATTCGCTGCTTTACTCTATCTCGTGCCCCCAGATAGATTCTCACCCATTCTTAAATGTGGTGCTGCTGATTCCTTGTAGCTCAAAATCATTACGATACGCTCAAAATATATCCGCACGTACTGGTATCGGTGCCGGCCAAGCTTTCCATTCAAGCGAGTGCCGGCAAGTCGTACTAGTCGATTTTAGATATATAGGCAGTTGACCCACCACCCTCCAACCAACTCTAGAGTCACACTTCGCACCAGTTCGAAAGACAAAGCACGAAAACAACCGAAGCTAACTATGATCTCCGCGAACTCTGTACTTGTCGAGTGTTGGCGCTTGAGAAACAAGGCACACCTCCGACCGCTAATTAGATGATACTGGGTGCTCCGAATGGACGATAGTAACATGACATGTGTCACGGTAGCACTCTCAAGGACAGGTCTTGCTCGTCCTCTGTAAAGGACGTTGCAGGCATCGCACAGCGATCGGTTGACCGTAATGACAAAGACGGTTGACTGGCGTCTGGTCATGTGCATCGCCGTGTTTATAATTGCTCCATCACCAGATACACCGACCAACAGAGCTTTGCAACGGTGACGGACTATGGACACAGTCCCCTTTGCTTCCCACACCTGGTAGTAAGTACCGCATTTTATTATGTTGTATCTAGTGCGGCGCACAACGCGTCTCCACTGCTGATGGGGTATGGATGACATGCCATCTACCAGGCAACGCTAGTCCACTAGACAACCTCCAGAGCTTGTCCGCCATCCGCAAGATGAATCATGGGATTGGGGGGGAGCAGCGGTGGGGAAGTGGGGGGAAGGTAACACAGTACCTGTCCACCGCACAACAGCGCGTGCCCCGCCACCGACCCCCAAAGTTACAGCCCTACCCTACGCACATTACTGTAGAGTTACAGGACTTCTGATTCTATACTAATGTGCTACACGGCAGGTGATAATCGCCTCGGCTGCTACTCTGCACAGAGTGTGCGTGATCAGTCGTCCCCTGATCCAATGGGGCACAGGAAATCTTCCCAGACTGATTCCCCTATCCACTCCTGTAAGGGCCTCCTACCATACCATGCTCAATAGGAGGACAATGTTATTCTTGGACATTACCCACATCCAGTGATCCCCTCAAATCAAAGTCCACCCAATTTCAAATTTTGCACTTCCATGTGTAAGGGAGTGAAGCACTATGTGATTTGGGGCGTACTTGCAATATATTCATGAAGAAGAATACTTTTACTTTCCTCATTTATGTAATTTACGTATTATAATACATTTTCATTTTGTGTCACATATCCCTTGAGCTTGTAGTTGTTAAGTATAATTTTTTAAATCATTATGGATGAATTTAAAAACTTCATCCATATATAACTTTTACAAAACTCATCCAATCTTCAAGTGTGATATTATTTCGAAAATGGCACTTAACAATAAAAAGCAAGATCATAATGAGATTTTGTTTCAATTGAGGATGCAAAGAAAATTGTACAAGTCCAAAAATCAATTTAAAAAACAAAGTTTGAACCTCAAGCAATGTTAGGCCCTTTCAAAATTTATTTATTGAAATGGCCATTGCTTCTAATTGATACAAATTTCTTACAATTACCATTTGTGTCACAAACATATACATTTATCTCAATAGTTACTTATATGATTAAGTAGAAGTAGGTAAATATAGAATAATTTCATAAAGTCTTCTAGAAAAGCTTCTTAAAAGCTTCATAGATGTGGTTTTGACTTTAGATGTGTTTGTAGGTCAGAAACTTGGCCAAAAAGCTAACCATGTATTGGTAGCTTGTGGAACAAGTTATCTCAGTGTAGTAGCTTGTGGAACAAGCCAACTATACGGTGCATACACAAATAACTTGCCTTAGAAGATAAAACATATGGCTAGCAAAGTCAATACATGTTGGAGGTCCTATAAGACATCGCCACATAGCTCTTAGTTAGATAGTATATATGAAGGCAAGAGTGAAGCCTTCTTCACTCTAGTCAATGCCTTTCTAGTCTTAGTCTTATTTCAAGACTTTCTAGTCTTCTTGTTTTTGGCAATAGCCATTCTAGTTAATATTACATCATCTTTTGAGGGACTTTCTAGTTCTCTTCAGTGATAGAAGAGTGTATTGAGGATTCTCTTTCTTTGAGATTCATGTCCTTCACAGTTTGACAAGAGTGCTAACATATTATTTTTATCTTTTTTTAGAAGTGAGTGGATTATTCCACTTCTATTATTATATTTTGAAGGTTGTGGACTACCTACCTTTAAACAAAAAATCTTATTTTCTAACACTAATCCTTTCCTTAAAGAGAGCAGATTACCTCTCTTTGAGGTATTTGTTTTTAGAGGTTCCGGATTATCCTCTTCTAATTTAACTTTTGAATTCATTTGAGTTGTCTATAGAAGGAAAGTTTATGGATACTACTCTCAACGGAAGTGAGAATAGATTTGTAACTATGACAAATCTTCATGAGCTTGTCAACACTCTAAGAGTGGAAATCTCACGTATTTCCAATGTGAAGCATGGAAGTACTATGCCTACGCCTATAGAAGAAGTTCAGAGTCTACGACAAGAAGTTGTGTAGTTAAAAGAAGCAAATAGATCAACGTCACAACCAAATTCATGGAGTTTTGCTTCTACAAGTATGACAAGGACAAAGATTAGTATGCTTGAGAAGTTTGATGGAACAAGGTCAAAATTTTGAAGATTTTTGCAACAAGTCAAGCTCTATCTAAAGTTGCATCCTTTCCAATATCTTGATGGATTTATCCAAGTTGGATTCATAGACGCACTACTATCACGAAGTGCTTTCTCTTGATTTACACCTTTAATGGAAAAAGATTCACGACTCCTTTATAATTTGAATTCATTCCTAGAAGTGTTTACAACGATATTTGAAGAAAGTGATTGAGAACGAGCAATACAGACCAAGTTTTTATCTTTACGACAAGCATCACGATCAACCACTATATATACTGTCAAATTCTAAAATCTCGCTTGCAACATGGACTCGAACAACAAAGCACTTATCAACCAATTTTGATATGGGTTGAAGGATAGCGTCAAAGATTTGTTATTAGCAATGCCAAAAGTAGAATCTATGAAACAATTTATTACTCAAGCCATTGCATGCGACAATCATTTATTTGAAAGACATCAAGAATAAAGATTTGGTTGAAGAGGAACAGGTCAAGTAATGGCAACATCTCTCAAGTTTTCTGAAACATATTTGTCAAAGTTGGAACCAGTGCAAATTGATATGATACATTTTAAACCTCTCATAAAGCAAGAAAAGACTTGATGTTGCCAAGAGGAGTTGTATTTATATTGTGGAGAAGCTAAATACACTACTCAACATTGTCTAAAGAAGTAATGCAATTACAAAATGAGGAGCACAATTACCAAAGAAAATGTGTCGGAAAACGAATTTTTCCAGCTACAATAAGGATTGTGCGACTGGAATCATTTGCAACACCTAATAAAGATCATATCCTCTCCTCAGACCCCTCACCTTATTTTATAATAGAAGTATATTTAGGACCTAATAATTACAAAGTCTTTACCTTGTTAGATTCAAGAGCCTCAACATGTTTTATAGATGAAGATTTTGCCAAAAATCAAAAAATACCTTTAGTGAAGAAAGTTAAATGTGTATATATAGAAGTCATAGATGGTCGTTTGTTGTCTTCTGGAAATGTTATCCATGAAACTATTCCTTTAGATATAGCAATTAAAGATCATAACAGTATAGTACTATCTAATGTAATAAAATCTCCCTTTAATCTGGTTATTTTAGGATTATCAATGGTAGAAAAATATAATTTTCAAATAGATTGGATTTCTCATAACCTTAACTTTCTTGATAGTATAATCAAAGATCGCATTAATAAAGTAGAAGTACATAAGTCTAATATGTCCAAACATTTATTAGTAGGTGCAAAAGTTTTCATGCATGCTACAAAAGAAGGATCATCTTTTGCTATATATGCTACACCCATTTCTAATGGTGAAACAACGTCAAGTGGTATTCCTAATCAATATCAAGAATACCAAGACGTTTTTAAAAAGAAAAATATAGATATTCTCCCCAAGCATTGACCTTATGATTGTTCAATTGATCTGCAAGAAGCAACTCAATCACCATTCGGACTAATCTGTAGCTTATCGCAGAATGAATTACCTATATTAAAGGAGTACATTGATGAGAATTTGGCAAAGAACTTCATATGCCATTCTAAATCTCCAGTCGGGGCTCCTATCTTATTTGTGAAGAAGAAAGATGAATCTCTATGAATATATGGATTATCGAGGACTCAATAAGATCTCCATCAAAAATAGGTATCCTTTGCCTTTGATTTCAGGACTTCTTAACTAACTCGATCAAGCAAAGATTTATACCAAAATAGATCTACGAAGAGTATACAACTTAGTTCGTATCAAAAAAGGAGATGAATGGAAGACTTCTTTTTGAACTAAGTATGGATATTTTGAATATAATGTCATGCCTTTTGGACTCACAAATGCACTGGCCACTTTTCAATATCTTATGAATGATATTTTTTGTGAGTTTTTAGATGATTTCATTGTTTGCTATTTAGATGACATTCTAATCTACTCTAAGAACACATAAGAATATGAGCTTTATATTTGTTGTGTGTTACAGAAACTTAGAGATGCAGGATCATATGCCAAGTTGAAAAAGTGTATATTCCACACTACTAAAGTTGAATTTTTAGGATACATCATTTCCAACGAAGGTCTTATGATGGATCCTAAGAAGGTTCAAACTATCATGGATTAGAAGATTCCAAGATCAGTACGAGATGTGCAATACTTTTTAGGCTTTGTTAAATACTATCAAATCTTCATCAAGAATTTTTCTCAAGTTGCAGCTCCACTTATACGTTTGACTTGTAAAGACAAACTTGAATAGAATAAAGAAACAGAAGCATCATTTGATGCTTTAAAGGAATTTATTTTTGTACCAATCTTATATTGCGTTGACTTCTCCATGACATTTTTTATAGAAACAGACACATCAGATTTTGCTGTAGGTGCCGTGTTATCACAAATGGGAACAGATGACAAACTCCACCCAATAGCTTTTCATTCAAGGAAATTTTTAGCAGCCAAGATTAATTATGAAATCTATTACAAAGAACTCCTTGTAATTGTAGATTCATTTCAAGAATAGCGTCATTATCTAGAAGGCACCTCAAGTTCAGTTACCATATATAAAAATCATAAGAACCTCGAGTATTTCATGTCAATACGTGTCTTGAATTGTTGTCAAGCCCGTTGGAGCATGTCTTTATCTAAATTCAATTTCAAGATCACTTATTGACCCAAAAAACAACAAGGTCTATCAGACCCTCTTTCTAGACGTTCTTATCTTGTATCAAAAGAAGAAGATGCATCTTTTGATTAACAAAGATCAATTTTCTTGAAGCCTAAGTATTTTCATCTTTGAGCTATAAAATCAACATTGACTATTGATTCAACATTGACTGTTGATTCAATATTTGTGAAGTAAATTCAATCAAGCATATCCTTTGATCCTCTTGTTTAGGATATCAAGGATACTTCCTCTAAGTCACATGATACTTTCAAGTTTGAATTCAAGAATAATCTATTATATTTTGAAGGATGCCTATATGTTCCAAAAGATGAAGCTCGATTATGTGTTCTTCAAGCTCTTCATGACTTTTCAACAACATGACATTTTGAGTACAATAAAACTTTGGAACTAATATCCAAGGATTTTTGGTGGCCGCAAATGAGAAAGGCAGTCAAAGATTTTGTACAATCTTACGATGTTTACTCAAGATCAAAAACTCCTCGTCATCAACCTTATGGACTTCTTTAGCCATTAT